GGGTTTAGGGCTTAGGGTTTAGGGCTTAGGGTGTAGGGCTTCGGGTTTAGGGTTTAGGTACCTTCTTTGGCATAGGGTTTTGGGTTCAGAGTTTAGGGTGTAGGGTTTAGGGCTTCGGGTTTAGGGTTTAGGTACCTTCTTTGGCATAGGGTTTTGGGTTCAGAGTTTAGGGTGTAGGGTTTAGGGCTTCGGGTTTAGGGTTTAGGTACCTTCTTTGGCATAGGGTTGTGGGTTCAGAGTTTAGGGTTTAGGGTTTAGGGCTTAGGGTTTAGGGTTTAGGTACCTTCTTTGGCATAGGGTTTTGGGTTTAGAGTTTAGGGTTTAGGGTTTAGGGCTTAGGGTTTAGGGTTTAGGTACCTTCTTTGGCATAGGGTTTTGGGTTCAGAGTTTAGGGTTTAGGGCTTATAAGGTTTAGGGTTTAGGGTACCTTCTTTGGGGTTTCTGTTTGACCGTAAGGCTCAAAATCGCCCAAAAGCCCTAATTATGTAGGATGGTCTTTGGGCCCAAAAGCCTTAGAATATGAGTCCCTAGAGCCTTAGGGTAAAGGCTACGACTTGTGACTGGTACCTACTTCGGGCTACTTGGAGCTTTAGGGAAAAGTTCAGGGCTTATTTATGAACCAAACCCAACGCTTCAACCCTAAGCCCACATCCACACATCATATAAGCCCTAAACCCTAAACCCTAAACCCTAAACCCTAAACCCTAAACCCTAAACCCTAAACCCTAAACCCTAAACCCTAAACCCTACTCTCTAAACTCGAAACCTACGTCCTAAACCCTAAGGCGCTCGGCCTCGGCCTCAAATTGGGAGTTTCAGAAAATGAGGGTAGCTTATTTTGGAGTCCTTATAATAGGGATCCTATTATTTAGGGTACTAGGTTAGGGTCCCCTATTTTCGGACACCCCCAAATATATTTCAGAGTTTTGCTCACCTGTTTTGTTCATGGCAGGAAAAGTTGATGCCAAACATCGCCATCTACTGCCGGACGCCACTGTTTCTGGTCTTGAGCTAGCAGAAGCATTTTGCCGGGCCTAGGATTCAGAGCTTAGGGCTTAAGATCACGTGAGCTTTCCATCGCCAATTTTGGCGTGCTTTTGGGTTTGTGGTATGTTTCCCTAACCCGCCAGTTACCTACTATATAGAGTACTAGAGACCCTAAGGCCCTATATAGTAGGTACCTGGAGGGTTAAAACCCTAAACCCTAAACCCTAAGCCCTAAACCCCAAACCCGAACCCCAAAACCCTAATTTGCAGCGCTTAGGGTTTCAGATGGTTGCAGTTCTTCGGGACTTCCTGCGGAAAAGAAAGACAATCTAGAGATGACCAGAGTTAGGGTTTAGGGTTCAGGGTTTAGGGTGGAGAGGTGTGCTCAGCGCTAAAGGTTTTGCGATTTGCCGCAATGCAGCAACTACTAGGCTGATGATAGGGAATTCAATGCAAGTTACCATTAACAAGGGTCTATAGTACAAACCAGGGTTGCCTTATTAAATAATATTAGTATCACTTACAGCAATACGTACTATAGAGCCCAGATTGGAAAGGTAGTGAAGAAACGCACCGCCTTACACCAACACTGCCATCGACTCGTTCCCCCAACCAAAACCCAGAGCCCCGTACCTCGACTTGGCATTCTTCTGGTTGGCTCTTAGGACTTTACTTTTTTGGGGTGTCTATAAGATAAAGTAATATGTAGGCTAAACGTTTAGCATTTAGGAGGGGTGCAGAAGTCAGCCAAGTCGAAATCACACATTCCAGGTATGTCGGTGGTGTCAGCGTGGATGTTCATGTGATCAACTCCGTGCCCTATCTCTTCGATGTGGCGTCCGAGCCGGACTACCGGTGCCTGGGTAGGCCTTTGGGAGATTTTATATTTGCCCTTAGTGGGCTTAAGAGGGTCTTGTTCACGAACACTCCTAAACCCTAAACATGTTTCAGCGGCTTTAAAGGGGGGGCCTACCTAGGTACTTCTTCCCCATGGAAGATGCCAAATGGGCCGTGGCTTGACTGCCGAAGTCTTGAACCCGGGACATTGGTTCAAAGGGCTTAGGGTTTAGAGTTTTGTGTTTAGGGTTAAGGGCCGAAGGGCTTGAAGTTGCTAGGGTAAGAGTTTGGGGTTGATCGTTTTTTGGGTATAAGGCTGTGGGGCTGAATGGCTTTCGGGTTTGAAGCTCAGGGTTTAGAGTTTAGTGATTCCCGGTCTTGGCCTCAGGGGGCTATTAATGTAGGGGCCGTATTCCTTGTTATAATTATAGTATAATGGGCACCAAAACGCTAACCTAATTAATAAGGCCCCTACATTCGTCGTCCTTCGTAGAACTCAGCTTCTCAAGCGAACTAGCAAGACCCCTCATCCTTCACTGAGACCATGGTGCCCGTGCTCCGCTTAGGGTTTCGGGTTTACGGTCTCCCAGTTTTTGTTTAGTGAATGGCTCTGAGTCTACGTACGGCCTGGGCTCGGGGCACTTAGGAGCATGTGCCAAGGAAGGCTGTGGGGATTTAAGGGTTTAGGGGTTTAGGGTTTAGGGTCCCTTTTGATTCAAGGCATATGTCTTATCTTGTCCACGGGGCTTACAAAACCGCAACATGCATCTGAAACGGCACATGAAGCCGCCATCATCCTTCTTAATTCACGGATAATATTGAAGTGTCTAGGCAGCCTACAAGACCAGGTAAAAGGGTAAAACCTTACGATGGGGTAATCAGTGTCTGTGGGTTACCTGAACCCTAAACCCTACCCTCGAAGCCCTAAACCCTGAACCCTACCTGACCTATTGGGAATCGGTTGGATCGCTCGATTTTGAAAGGAACTCGTGCTGCGAATGAAGCGGCTCTGGTCCATCATCTTCGAGTGCGCGCGGCACCTTAGTCTCTTGGTCTCAAGATCGGCCTAGAGTACAGAACTTAGCGGAAACTGTAGACCCTGAAGCCTAAAGCCTAATCCCTAAACCCTAAACCCAAAGCCTAATCCCCAAACCCTGAACCCTAAAGCCTAAAGCCTACGCCCTAAACCCTAAAGCCTAATCCCTAAACCCTAAAGCCTAATCCCTAAACCCAAAGCCTAATCCCGAACCTCTAAAGCATAAAGCCGAATCCCTAAACCCTAAAGCCTAATCCCTAAATCCTACAGCCTAAAGCCTAATCCCTAAACTCAATGCCTAATCCCTAAAGCCTAAAGCCTAATCCCCAAACTCAAAGCCTAATCCCTGAAGCCTAAACCCTTAAAGCCTAAAGCCTAATCCCTAAACCCTAAAGCCTAATCCCTAAACCCTACAGCCTAAAGCCTAATCCCTAAACGCAAAGCCTAATCCCTAAACCCTAAAGCCTAAAGCCTAATCCCTAAACTAGAAGCCTAATCCCTAAACTCAAAGCCTAATCCCTAAACCCTAAACCCGAAAGCCTTAAAGCCCAAAGCCTAAACCCTGATCCGCATGAAGATTATAAGGATTTAGGCTTGTCGGTCGGCTTTGGACTTTGGGGTTTCTAGGCTTCTGTGTAAGGTTTGGGGTCAGCATCCAGAGTTTAGGGTTTAGGGTTTAGGGTCGGGCTTGGGGTAGGATTTAGGGTTCTGTTTGGGGGTTTGGGATTTTTAGGGTTGAGGGGCACGTCGTAATCATCTCTGAATCTTGCCCATTTGATGGAGCTCAGCAGCAGGCTGTGTGTTAGGTTGCGTTGGCTCGGTTTAACCAGGGTCTCTGCTAAGGACTTTTCTTCAGCATCGCATACTCGGGGCAGTTATTTAGAAAAGTGCAACGCAACATTATCTGCACACTCATACATACACATATCCACATACATGTACATGTACATGCACATGCACGTGCATACATCTACATATACATTTGCTTAAAACGTACATATAAATATGTACGTATACATATGTATATATATATGTACAATCTTAAATACAAGGCATATATTTCTTATAGTACGTACTGTGCCTTCCTTGTTCTGACAAACTACGTCTCCCAACAAGAGCTTTCAAGTGTTCGCCTCCAGGTCTCAAAACCATCTTCCTGCCAGACCTTGGAGGCCGAGGGTTGGGATGTTCAAGGTTCTAGGGTTTAGGGTTTAGGGTTTAAGGTTTCAGGGTTTAGGGGTTTAGGAGTTTAGGGTTTAGGGTTTAGTGGTTTAAGGTTCTTGGGCCTAGGTTTAGTGTTGAAGGCGCTTAAGGTAGTTTAAGCTTTGATTGCCTTGGGGTTTAGGGTTCAATATTTAGAGCGGAGTGTAGAAGGGTCCTGGAAGGGTCCAAAAGGGGGTTTCGGTTTAGGTCTTGGGGTAGCGTCTTTAAGGCTTTGGGGCTTTAGGGGTTTAGGGACAAGGGTTGTAGGGTTGGGGATGTCGGCCCAGAGCCCAGCGTCTCAGCAGTTTGCCAGAGAACGGGTATCAGAGGAAAGCTGGGACGAGCCGATGAGCCGTCACTCTTGAGAGAAGAGAACTCAAAGCAAGAAACTTAGGAGCCCAGTAGGTAAACTTTAAACTTCTTGGTATATTACACCCCCTACTAAAAGAAAAGTTTAAACTGTTTTGGGCCAGGGTACTGGGCTTCAAGGGAAAGGACAAGATGAAGGCAAGCGCGTGCAAGAGGAAGGCAGCAGTAGCAGGTCGAATGTTTGCATTCAGGAACCCCCAAAAAAAGGACATAAGCATAAGCATTTTATAGGGATATCCCTACCTTGTTGGGCTTCACTATAAGGGGATTTATATGGGATATCCCTATCCTAATTTTTGCTTATGTGATTTTTTGGGGCCCTATGCATGACATGTCACTTGCAGACGCAGGCATGCCAGAAATATAATGCTGCTGGGGCGTTTTTTGCGCTCGAAGCCTTCCTTGCTTTGTAATTTAACTCCTTGTAACTGTACCGCTTCTTCAGCGTCCGCCTTTCATGGCTTCAGGTGAAGCCTCAGCCCTCAACCTTAATTAACCTGGACCTTAAAAAGCTTGAAGGATCGAACTTGCAGCGTTTGCCAAAACCAGGGTCTTTTTAAACGTTCTTGCTTTCGTTGGTTTCAGCAGTTGTGAACCCTAGAATGCTCCAGCGTTCGACAGGGTTCGCTTTTTACAATGTTCTGCGGAGCCTGAGGTGCGACGTCGTCGAGAGCCAAAACCCCTTGGCGTTCTTCTGGCTGGCTCTTAGGACTTTAACTTTTTGGGTTTCTACATGAACTATAATAGGTAGGCTAAACGTTTAACTTTTAGGAGGGGTTCAGAATTCAGACAAGAAACCCTAAACCCTAAACCCTAATAAGCCCTAAACACCAAACTATAAATGGGTAGCCAAGACCCTTATCCACAAAATGCACGTGTCAAACTCGGTCTGCTTGGAGGTCAACCCGATCAGCATGGAGCACGCTCGCGAAGTTTAGATGGATGTCCAGAGTTTTAGGGTTTTAGGGTTTAGGGTTTAGGGTTTGGGGTTGTTGACCCTGCTCTATCGATTTTCTTCGTGTTATCGCCAGGATCAGCAAGAAGATCGGTGAATTCGGAGTGCTTGCCTGCTTGATGGGCATGGCAGTGCAAACACTTTGCTTTATGGGTGGCGGCAAAATTCAGTGAAGGCGACAATTTAGGCAATTTAGGGTTTAGGTTTATAGGGTTTAGGAACACCGATATACTGTAGTTTCTGGTTGGTTCAGGATGGCCGGGTCCAGAATGACTTTGAGTGGCAATTTTTGCATCGCATGGATCACCACAGAGTGCGGAGTGTTGATCGGCCGTCACTCTTCCCCGATCGATGGTGATGTAAGGGTTGTTACTTATACGATTTTGGTATTGGGCTCTCCGACGTTGGGTGCTAACGGGTGCTAGGTCCGCAGAGGTAGCACGAAATATGGAAGTCAACTCATGTTCTGCTTGCTAGGACTCCTGATCCGTCCAATTACCTGAATGATCAGGCGACTTAGTCGTAAGGTAACTATAGTATTGTCTAGAATCGTGTTGTAATCCTGGCGAAGGTACTTATAACCCTGCTTGCTAAGTTGCTTCAGTAAGATTGGGGTTTTGGTTTCGGAGCCCTGCAGGAACGTACTATTACTTGGTCATACCCTCGTAATAAGCCCTGAACCCTACAAAATTCGCATTGAGGAAAACACGATTGAACACCATGTTACAATAGATCATTTCAATCAAGAACACCGTAAACCATCCTACACTGCAATATCGCCCCTATAAATTACAAACATGCGGTGTGAATCTTTGGAACATGAGAAGAACCTTATCACTTCACCGCTGATTCCCTGGAGGGAGCACCTCCTCAAATCTGCTGGCGGCACCTCGAGACTTTGCCCGACTGCGAGAGGTGCCGGAATAGGTTTGTGCATGGATCCGAATAAAAGGTCCTTATTAAGAACAAGCAACGTGCTTGGAATCTATAACCCCCCAGTTCGCCCGCCACCTTTCTTCCCCAACCATTTCTCGGTGGGGTTCCGGGACCCCTGGATTGGGGTTTGTGCGACCCGGGACTGTAGACGGAGATAGACTCTTTGGAGTGGTGTGGGGTGGTTTGTCCGGAACTGTAGAAAAGACTGACGCTTTATTCAGGTGTCGGGTGCGGCTTTGTAGTAGGAGTGGGGGTGGTGGTAGTAGTAGTAGTAGTAGTAGTAGTAGTAGTAGTAGTAGTAGAGGTAGTAGGTAGTAGTAGAGGTAGTAGTAGAGGTAGTAGTAGAGGTAGTAGGAGAGGTAGTAGTAGAGGTAGTAGTAGTAGTAGTAGTAGTAGTAGTAGTATTAGTAGTAGGAGTAGTAGTACTAGCAAAATTAATATTATTAGTAGTAGTAGTAGCAGCAGTAGTAGCAGTAGTAGTTGTTGCAGTAGTAGTAGTAGTAGTAGTAGTAGTAGTAGCAGCAGTGGTAGTAGCACTAGTAATGGTAGTTGTTTTGGCAGCAGTAGCAGGAGTAGTAGTAGTAGTAGTAGTAGTAGTAGTAGTAGTGGTAGTACAGTAGTGGTACAGCAGTAGAGCAGTAGCAATAAAATCGTGAAACCCAGACCAACCACTTCAACATAACTACCAAGACTGAAAACTCCCCTTACAACCGGTTTGCTAAAATTAGTTTTGTCTACGTCCTGTCGTTACCTTCTGCTCAGTTAAGATGGGTCATCAGCATCAGTAGCAGACAAAAACCAAAAACACATCCGTGCGATTTTTTGCGCAGTATGGGCGGGCCACAACATGTCAAATCCTGAAAAGGCACCGGGCAGAAGCGTTTTATTGACGTTCACAAAATAAACCGTGTCACACATTAGAAGGGTCCCTATTCTCCGAAATTATCCTCTCACTATAATTTCAGACCAGGGCTTGGGGAATAGAACCTAGATTTTATTTTGGGAGGGTTGGGGGTTTGGCGGTTTTGGGGTTGAGGCGGTTGATGTAGTGTTTAGTGCTCAGATCAGCGTCCCCAAAGCCCGCCTGAACTCGTGGCCTTGTACCACAAATGCCGACTCCTTACATGCAAGATAGGAGCTTAAGGACAGCCTTGGTGAGTGCATGTAGAGCTCTGTTATAGGAACCCTTAACCCTAAACCCTAAACCTTAAATATTAGTCAGAAGACCCGGAGCCTTTACAACAAAAGCTAGATGTTGACAGTTCAAACTGATGGAGATGCTTAGCTTTGGGCTTTCTCGCACCTGTTGCTCCGAACCTGTACTTGTAGGATCATGGGATCTAGTCAGTCAGGCCATAAGTACCTCAACTAGGGTCAGAAGTAGATATTACTATAGTTACCTTACGTATAAGCCTGCTGAATAAGCTCCGTGATCCCCCAAGCAAGCCATCTCCTAAACGCGAGGTCCTCAACCTCAAACCCTACTTTGAGCAGGAAACACGTGAAATCCAAGACCCCACTTCAAATGCGAAGCTTTAAATCCCAAGCTCCGCACCTTGAATACTCAAATCCATGGGTAGTGGGCTCTCTGGGCATTCAGTTGCCACAAATAGTGGAAAAAAACAGGACTTGAGAGGCATATAGGTGCTTGTTACTTAGAGGATGGGGGGACCTGGTAAGGTAACTATAGTTATAATTTAACCGACCAAAACCCACTTTTTTGTAGGTTCTGATTATAAACCTTAAAAAAATGGGATTTATAGTGACCCGACAAAAAAGTAGGTTCTGGTGGGTTAAGGTATACCTTTAGAATACCTATAGCCCTACTTCTTAAGTCCCCTGAACTGAAACCCTAAACCCTAAACCCTAAACCCTAAACCCTCAACCCTAAACCCTAAACCCTAAAGGGTAGAGTGGGCGCTTTTTTTCCAGGAGTCTCTGCCGGCTGTCCACGCCCTCTATGCGGAGGCCTTTCCTTGACGGCAACTATAGGGTGTAGAGGTTAGGGGTTGAGGGTTTAGGGTTTAGGGTTTAGGGTTTAGGGTTTAGGGTGTAGAGGTTAGGGGTTGAGGGTTTAGGGTTTAGGGTTTAGGGTTTAGGGTTTAGGGGAGGTTAGGGGTTGAGGGTTTAGGGTTTTGGGTTTAGGTGTGCCCAATTAGTACATACCTAAAGAATCTGAATAGGGCCTACTTGAAGGCAAGGTTATATACTATTTTTCTCCTTTGGAGAAGGACAGATTGCACGATGCTTTCCATGGTGGGATGTACCCGCAACTGGGTAAGGCGTACATGACACTGACTTGTGGAGGCTGCGGCTGCGATCATGTATGCCGTTTCCGCTCATGGAAATCACTGCTTCTTGGACATCCTGAAGAAGTACCAGGAGTTCGTGAGCTATCCGCCGGAGGTCTACAATACCAGGCCATTTAATGGCGTGACAGCGCTGGCATATGACAGATTGGAACACGAACAGGATTGGGCCAACGGATCATGATTTTGGTATGCCAAGGTGAAAGTTGGCATTCGAACAGGGGCTGCTGTCGGCTACCGCGTTTCCCGAATCCTCGGGGGTACAACTTTTATCTGATCTTGCTATGTGTTTTGGCTGAGGCCTGCGAATTTGGAATACCATTGCTGAAGGTTCCGTAAATAAAGTAGAATGGTATCCCCACGCTGTGCAGGAGAACGTGTTTGTTCGGGGTTTCGCGCGAGCAGTGGAAAGATACTCAAAGAGCCCTAGACTTGAAGCTCTTTATATCCTCAAAACCCTGAACCCTAAACCCTAAACCCTAGACTTGAAGCTCTTTATATCCTCAAAAGATGTCTCCAAACCCGTCAGAGCGCGTGAAATGCATCCCAATCCTGATCCCTCATCCTCAACCAGAATCACTATAAGCAGCAATGTCCCGAAGCCGTGCCTGGAGCATCATGGGGTCTGAGCAGTAGGGTCCGGTAGAGTTGTAAGTGCCGCTCCACTTATGTCCTGTTTCCGATATCTTCTATTACGTTATAGTATGTTGTTTGTATGTTATTTTTAATATGTTGTCTTGTGTCGGAGTACAGTGTAGTACAATATCGTTATATATATATGGTCGCCCCCCCCC